CATTACAGATAAGAAATGAGCCAGCTGAGGAATTTCTTGGCTTGCTGAAAGAGTGGGATAAACTTTGTAAAAGTTATGTTGGTAACTCTAGAAACAAGAGTATGTCCTCTCCTAGAGTTCAAAGCCAGTTGCAGTCTCAGAAAAGTGATAATTCGAGGAGCGAAACTAAAACATCATCTAATGAGTATGAGGTTGCTTGCCTTACTGATATCTGCTATGGTGATCCCAACGAAAGTGGCAAGCCTGGACTTCATTTTGAGGTTGGTTTGATTTGTCAAAATCCATGAGCCTGCTAGCCTTATTGATATCCTCCTTACTGTTGCTGCTGCTGGTTTTCTTTTTTTCCTTGGGAAGGGGAGGAAGTGGCTAAATAATATCTGACTTTGCTAATTACCCTGGTGTACTTAGGTGCGTTGGGCTGGTTATGGCCCGAGTGAGAACACATGGGAGCCAATTGAGGGACTAAGGTATGCAAGTTTCATTTTGTCAATTATTTTACTTAGCTGATCTTTGATTTTTACTTATTGATACATGCAAATGTGCAATTTCTAGTAATTGCCAGGAGCGGATACAAGAATTTGTTCAGAAAGGTCATAAACTTGGGATTTTGCCTCGGCCGGTATAGTATTTAGGGTTATGCCATCCTTTTCATCATTTGATTTAGATCTTAATTAATCAAGTTGCTAAATTTCAAAGGGGTTACTTCCTTATCTTGCATTTGGATGTGCAGGGAGATGTCGATATAATTTGTGGAGGTCCTCCATGCCAAGGAATTAGTGGGTATAACCGTCACAGAAATGTTGATAACCCTTTAGATGATGATAGAAATCGCCAAATTGTGGTGTTTATGGATATTGTAGAGTTTCTCAAGCCAACATACATATTGATGGAAAATGTGGCTGACATTCTGAGGCTTGCCAATGGTCAGCTTGGAAAATATGCAATTAGCAGATTGGTTCAGTTGAAGTATCAAGCAAGTCTAGGAATTATGGCTGCTGGTTGCTATGGCCTTCCGCAATTCCGCCTACGTGTTTTCCTATGGGGAGCTCATCCGAATGAGGTTAGCCACTTAATGTTTGCCGAATGGGAAAAGAAATTCAGGCAAAACAATGAAACATGACCAGTACAACAGTAATACATGATTATAATAATTTTTTTTTATTTTGAAAAGGTAAGAAAAAGAAGCATTAGTCATGTGGCAATGTATACGTATATAACGTGATAAATGATTGATGGTGCATGTTTGTTAATTACTAGAATTAGCTTGGATCACAGGTTTGAATTTTCTTTCTAGCATATCTAAGAAAATATGCCTACTTGGACTGTCAGTTAGATGATTCAGTTGGATTATATAGGGTTCTTCAGAAGCATAGGTGGGGTTTCTATTCATCAGTAAAGTTCCAACATTAGTTATCAATGCTGAAGAAAAACACAGAAATTATCTGTAAAATTGCAGAAACAAGATTATGAATTTATGACATAATTGTTCATGTGCTGTACAGAGGTTACCGCAATTTCCTCTTCCTACACATGATGTGGTGGTGAGATATGGCGCGCCATGTAAATTTGAGGTATTTATCCTTTTTGTGTATTTCAATAATATTATTTCTAGCTGTTTTTTTATAGTGTTGTATCCCTATTTACTATGATATTTAATGTGAAGCGCAATGTTGTTGCATATGATGAAGATCAATCTCCTAACCTTGAGAAAGCTCTTAAACTGGGAGATGCTATTTCTGATCTTCCGCCGGTAATACCTTTACCTGTCCTTGTTCATTTGTTCCTCTTGAACTCTTGTTCACTAAAATTTTCCTTTCAAGGTGACAAACAATGAAGTTCGAGTAGAGATGTCATATCGAAAACCTCCAGAAACTCAGTTTCAAAAGTATATTAGATCAAGTGAATGTGGTAAGTATTCCACATTGTTCTCCATTTGCGCCACCCGGACTTAATCTTGTGATTCATATATAGGTCAATAGCCCCATTTTTTTGTTAAAAAATTACATTCTCGTTTGAATCCTACCTAGTATTAAATTGGCATTCTATGTGGTTGAATTTGCTCTTAGTATAAACCCTTGAGATTCTAGCTTTTGCTTTCATTAATCATTACTATATTTTAGCATTAACCTTAGCTATAGTCTCGTTCTCCAATACAGATTCTTCTGCAACAGCGTACACCAGGGATTAGCCCAGAACTGATCCGCGAATCCGGATTAGCCCAAAGGGTGAACCGAGTGGAACAACAAAAAAAAAAAAAAAGCAGCGTACACCAGGGTATCTCATCTTGGATAGACCCTGTTACTTCATCCAATGTTGTGAATTGAAAAAGACTTAAAGCGGACCCCTGTTACTGTCCTATCATGATAGGGAAATCCTCCATTACTCCCCCACAAGTCCGCACATTTGGATTCATGTCTCTATACATTGTGAATTCATACGAAGTACTCCTTCCGTCCCTATTTTATTGCCCATTGCCAAAATTTGGGTCAAACTTTAAAAACTTTGACCATAAATTCCAGTTATTCTACAAGAAGTAATATAGTCATGTGGGATCTTGTTTGATTCGTCATATTTTATATTTTATTAATATCAACTTTTTATAATTTTTACGTGTATGAAAATTGAGATATAATTATTTTTTAACACGTGTCTTTGAGACCATGAAAAGTCAAATGGGGCAAAGATATAGGGACAGAGGGAGTATATATAAACGTGGAATTTCCTCTATCACTTCCCACCAAATCTTCTCTCTTGGCACCTTGGAACTTTTAAGCCTTTTACATGTGAAAGAAAATCATGTGCAGGTCCTTCTTCCTATCCATATTATATTCCCAATTTTTTCCTCAGCAGACATGTGACTTCCATGATATATTGACAATATCGTCCCAGCGTAAAACCAAATAGTTTCTCTAAATTGCTTGTACATTTCCTCAATATATGCATTATCACTCTCTTCCAGTAGTTTATCTCCCAATAATCTATCTCCTTTTATAATTTTCCAAATATTGTTCTATAGATTCATTAACCAATAATGCCAATCAAATATCAACCTTCCTTAGACACCTCAAAGTCTCAACAGGAATGCATATGGATCAGATGAACTCGTGAATAAAGGATTTTTTGGAAAGCCGTGTTTATTAATATCCTGTTGTTTAGTATTTGTCTATCCCATTCTGGGATAGGTCATCTGGGTAGGAGTGCATCTTATCTCTGTCTTGTATCATTTAACTGCTGCAGATATGCTCAGTACTCCTGGTGCCACAGCACGGAAAAAACCTGTGCTTTATGATCACCGGCCACTTGTATTAACCGAAGATGATTACTTGCGAGTTTCTAAAATCCCTCTGAAAAAGGTTGAATTCAAGTTTTAAACTTCATATAATTTCTTCCGTTAACACGTCATAGTTTCTTTCATAAGTTTTTGGAGTAAAACATTTTGCAGGGAGCAAACTTTCGAGACCTACCAGGTTTAATTATTGGAAGAGACAATGTTGTTCGCAGAGATCCGGAATCAGATATAAGATTACCATCTGGGAAACAACTGGTAAATCTACTATACATTTCTTTGCCTTACCCAACTCCTCTTTTCTCTACATAATGATTTCCAAAAGTTAATTATGAATATGTGGAAGTGGAATCTGGCTCCATCTCAATTGCTACCAACTTAAGTTTTTAATGTCCTACATTTGGCTTCTTCATAGGGCATCCTGTATTCTTACTTGCACTCTTTTGACATTGAACAGGTTCCTGATTATGCAATAAACTTTTGTAGTGGGAAATCATTGAGGTATTTGGATATATCATTTATGAATCTGATACTTGATTACTATTAATAATTGTCCTTCAAAATGTACTTGTAAAATTCCTTCTGGTTTGCATGACAACCCTGTAAAGACCATTTGGTCGACTTTGGTGGGACGAGACAGTTCCCACAGTATTGACAAAACCTGATCTTCACAGCCAGGTAGCCCTTGAAATTTTATTCTTCTGTAGATTATAATGTGGCCCAAATTTTTGATCGGTGTTGGAGAATTATGAAATCTAAATGTGTCAATTTGTAGATCATTTTGCATCCAGATCAAGACAGAGTTCTCACTATTCGTGAGTGTGCAAGATTACAGGGTTTCCCAGACTTTTTCAGATTTTATGGGACTGTGAAGGATAGGTTGTTCCATCTTTGTTCTTCATCAGATTTTGTTTTATAGGTGCAATCTGCAGCTTCCTTGAATTAATTAATATTTGTATGTTGATTTTTGGTAGATACTGTCAAGTTGGAAATGCTGTATCAGTTTCAGTTGCCAAAGCTCTAGGGTATAGTTTGGGCATGGCAGCGCAAAAGCTGACTGGGAACGGTCCTCTCATGACTCTCCCACCCAAGTTTGCTCACATCACAGTAGCTGAACATTTGAAGTCGTCAATCAAAGAAGTGACCGAAAGTAATTTCCATTTCAATATCTGACATTGCTAATGTACTGTAGAATTATGAACTGTACGATTGAAGTGATTATTTTCCGATTCAACTTTGTAATCTGCTGTAATTTTCTTTCTTGACCCTTCTGTGTAGTTCTGAAGTTTCTTCAGTGGTAACACACAAGAGTCAGGGAACCTGTGATAAGTAGATTGACAATTTGTACATTGTCTTACAAATTTGGCAGTTTACTAATAATAATGTGCTCTATTTTCTTGGTGCTTAATTTTTTCCTCTATTGTTTTGGTACAATCAGTATTCCATTATTTTAGGGTAAAAAGGACCCAATTGCATAAGCACCTCTCACAAAGTCACAAGTCTTTCAGTCCAATCGCATATATAACCCTTGAAAGGGGGGAGGTAAGGCAATCGCAATCCTCACTCCCAAGCACAAGTAGATGGTGAGAATTGAAACAATGACCTCAAAGTCACAAGGTGAGCTCTTCGCCAAGCTTGCTTGGTTTAGTATACCAACAATATGCGTAGTAAATTTTAACATACAAAAGTTGCCCTTAAGCAGCAGAATACTAAATTCTCAAAGTAATTGGAACAAGGTATAATTAACTTGGTTAGTTACCAAGAATGGTAATCCAGCAGAAGTTAATGAGTACCTTTTCTCAGTTACATTACCTACAAAGTTATTAGTGCATAGTAAACGAAAACAAAAAGGAAATATGTTTAATAATATGTTACACATATTAAACATATTTAAACAACGCAGGCAGATAATGTATTCTTCCAGACTTCCAGCCCATTGCTTCCATATACATTGTCATCAGTACAGTTAGGTGTATGAGTGTATCGACCTCAAGTAGGCAGTTCCCGAAGTATATGAGGGACCTGAGACCATGAAAATAGATTCCTCTAATTCATGCTTGGAATATGCTTATAAATCCAGAATGAGATGCCACAGTATTCTAGTCTTCTGTGACATCAAATAGGAGCCTGTACCAACAAAGTGATGTAAGCAGACAAAATGTGCATCATATCATGCAATAAAATAAATTCTGTTATGAAACCACCATTTATATGCTTAAAGATATCTAAAAAAAAAACCAAAGCAATAATGTTCAAGATATGTCATTGAACCATTTCGAATATTATGATCCTCAGGAAGCTTGATATGTGAAGGCACATATCATTACACATCAATATTGGATCGCACACAGAAGGCTCATATAGATTTAACTTGATCACTTTTAGTAAACCATGTAGCTTACAGGCAATGGCATACGGATTGCAAGGGCTTCTAGATGTGCACACAAATATACTAACAGTGATTGCCCTTAAAATGAAATTCAGCTTACCAGCTCCAGCTGCCACCATTTTGGGAGAAGAAGTCATTATCCAGTGACACAGCAAGAGCCAACACCACTGCTCTCGCTGAAAGGGTTAGTGGACGTGCAATTTCTAAATCCTCAACCTGCGGAGAAGGTATAGCAGTATAGGATACAGAAAATTTTAGCGAGAAAGACCCAAACTCTGGCACAATTGTACATAAGTTGCTCTTTCTTCAGTACAGCATATTACCTCTTCTGCAAGGCCGGTTTTCAATGCAGGATCAGAACTCTCAAATCTAATGACATATTGTCCAGCATCTGTGAGCAGCTAATACATTGGAGTGAAAACAAGTAACTCCTCTCACTAGTTAGAGCAATAACATCCATCATTAAACGAACAAATCAAAACATACAGAATGTAGCCAATTATTTGAGATTGAGTGAGCATCAGAAATAGAACAAACCTCCAAACTGTAACCTACTAACCTCTCCAATTACGATTTATCTCAGCGAGCACATTACCATCAACATCTTTCATTGTATATGTCCAATTCCAAAAACCAGGATTTTCAACCACAGCAAACTGCTTGTTCCTACATAATTAAGGCCTGGTATAAGGGCTACGTACTAAACTATCAAGGCAATGTAAGTGTACAGGGAAGGAAAGATTACCCCAAATATAGATCATAGATTCTCCTCCACGGATGCCATCGTTGGTGTACAACACCAATCTCCTGTTCACAAACATTAGTGTAGTCATAGCAATGTAATTGCCCCAGAGAGCTAAAGATGAAGGTGCTTAAAAAAAAACAATCTGGCCTACCTTTCCGTTAACCTCAGCATATATTGAGCTCGTAATCCACCAAAAGGGCCTACGAATCTAGATTATACGTTGAACAAGTCCACAAGGTTAACAAATTTACTTGCAAAAATGACAATACTAACCACTCTAGACGAAAGATAGAATTATACCCTGAATAGCTCAGTGCCTAATACATCAGTTATGTATGCAATGAAGGAACGTCTCAGACGAAGAAACTGCAAAAATTTTAAAACAGCAATCCATTAAACATATCCTGCTGCCAAAATATCAAAACATATTCATTCAGCACAATTTCCATGTACAATACGGAAGATTTGTATCAGTTAGTTGGATGAACATCAGTTGTCTCCTACTCTCCTATGAAGATAATACGGGAAAGAATGCAAAACTAAACAAGATGCAAGATTGATTTGAATGCCAATTATCCTAAATGGCAGCAAGAACTTTTGTTACTTACTGAAAATGCTTCCTTATCTTCGCTGTAAGCAAAAGAATACCTCACAGACCAAAACACGATAAATAAATGTAACATATGATGGATTTGTTACCTGTCTCAAAAGAATACCACTCTCTTCGCGGATGAAGCCTACAGGCTAGATAAAACACACAGAATAACCCGAGTCAGAGTTCTACAATGACTTTATTTTCCTTCAAAAACTGACATTAAAATGCAACAGAACTTCAAGCAAATGCCACATGCACTTACAGACTGAGGGTAGCATACATCCACTATTGCATACCATGGATATTCAATAACCGTTCATTATAAAACTAAAAGAAATATAACATAGCAAATCTCTAACACAAATATCAAATCAAACTCCGTAACTTTAACCAAATCAAATCATCACTATGTGTACGCTAAACAAATTAAAACTATTTTATTTGATATGGGATTGAACATTGTGGAGTCAACATTGTTTGTGGTAGTTTAGAATTCGACATAATCACTTTGGGCTTTGTTTCTTGCCAAGTAAAATGTTCTAACTTCACATTAATTTTATCTTGTTTATGCTCATATACAAAGCAATAAATGAACAAGACAACAAATTACCTGCTCAAACCCAAACACAACGTCTGCCCATTCTATATCTCGGGTAATTAATAAAGTTGCTCTAGCAAGAAGAGGGGAAACTTGAACCTGCAAAAATCACATACGCATTATAGATTGTTAACACATAAAAAAGCCAGGTATTTAAATGTAAATGCCCCAATTCAAAAAAGCAAGTTCAAAGACAACACATAGTCTATCCAAAAATGGGAGTACAATACTCCCTCCGTCCCATAAGCCCATACACTATAGGTTATCACAAATAAAACCTTTCAAGTACAAATAAACAACTTATGGCCCTATTCAGTTCACCTTAAAAAAATAATATTCTATAAAAATAATTTCAGTTCAGTAAAAATAAGTTCAATTCAATAAAAATAATTTCAGTTCAGTAAAAATCAGTAACTCTAAAGAATCTAACTTTCAGTTCAGTATAATAGAGAATCATTAAAAATAATTTCAGTTCAGCAAAATTAATTTCAGTTTAATAAAAATAATCTAACTTTAGCAAAAATAATTTCAGTTCAGTAAAATTAATTTTACTTCAGCAAAAATAAGGTGAAGTGAATGGGGCCTAAGTATCTTGTTCAAAAGAGAGACAAGTGCATGAGATATGATAATAAAATCAGAGACTACCAATTAACTACCAAGCACAACCTAAATTACTTCACATAGTTATTTAATCCATGATTTTTGCCCATTTGAAGGATATATGATTTATAACTGGGTTTGCAAATGGAGGGATGAATATGAAACAATGATTTATGAATGCTCTCAAGCTCTGATCCGGGAACAGCTTAACTGAAACGCTACAAAGTCCGAACCTTTATAGATGAAGATAAACCCTCTAAAGACATGGCCACCAAACAAAACAAGGCAAACAAAGCTTTGACCAATAAGAAAATTCTGCCCAATTTCTAATTTTACACACAGAAAGTATCATGATACAATAACACAGTTCAACTCTAGCAAATGATGACACAATTTACCATTCTTCAAAATCGAAACGAGGTAATGTTTTATATATAGCAAAGTAAACATAAGCCATATTATATAAATGCAAGATGCAACAACTCATAATAAGCACCAAAGAACACACCAACTCAACAACTAACCCCATCAAAAAGAGACCGAAAATATTTATACATCCTCAGGAGAAGTAGGTGGTAGGTGCCAAATATCCTGTAGTGGATTGACTAACTAAGGGCTGCTCAAGTACATGAGTTCTTGAACCATGATATTTCCTAGAATAAGCCATATTCTTTCTTTCCAATTCCTTGTCTAAAACCCAAAGCCGAGCAAGGAAATCCCGGTCCAAATCCGGACCCTTCCGGGCGCTATGCTTACCGACGAGATTCGAGCATTGCTAAAGGATGTTTGGGCATTTGGGTTTTTTATCAAAATCATATAATTGAAATAACCCAAGAATTGAAGTTTTAGGACCCTTTACAATGCCGGTTGTGCTAATACCCTTTTACACATAATTGCTTGAGATATTACTCTTAACAATTTGCTTCAAATGCTTACTCGAACTCATTTTACAAATAGTTTCCTGCAATTGTAAACAACAAAAACTTAAGTTGAAGAGCTGTAAATCAAAATTTGAAGCCAATTTTAAACACCCATTATCAGTCATCACATATATAGATGAATAACATGATTTTCCAAGCTTTCTAAGTTTGATTGTCTCAAATCACTCCGTAACTTATTGAGCAATTATTTGGAAAAAAGAGAGTTTTAATGTAAAAACATTGCTGGAAGTTACATGAATGAATGAAGAGAGAAAAAGAAAGAACCTTTAAACAATACAGAACATGCAAATGACAAAAAAAAAAAAAAAAAAAAAAAAAAAAAAAAAAAAAAAAAAACTTGGAGAGCAAGTCTTGTTTTATTGTATCGTGACTTATAATTGTATAACTTTATATATTGTATTAACAATGATGGAAATTATTTCTGAAGTCGCTTATAATTTAATTGTACATAAGGAAATATTGGTATTTTTATCAAAAATAAAACTCTAATCTAACTTTTTTATCTTACAAAACTATCTAAATTTATTCAACTTTTTTACCTTAATAAAAAATCCAACTTTTTATTATAAAAGTATCGGTGTCTCGTATCCTGACTAATCGTTCAACTTTATATAAATTAGATTAGATGATATAATATTATTAGATTAGATTAGATTAATAGATGCGAATTTTTAATTAGTTCTTGCTAAGTATGCTACCTCTTTAGCAAGACAGAGTTCTCAATATTCATGAGGGTGCAAGATTACAGGGTTTCCCAAATTTTTACAGATTTTTATGGGAGTGTGAAGGATAGGTTGGTCCATCTTTATTCTTCATAAGGTTTTGTTTTATAAGTGCAATCTGCAGCTTCCTTGAATGAATTGATACCTAGCATTTTGTGCACGCGATGTGTGCTTGTATAAAACAATAATAATTCCATTATTAATAGGAAAATAAATTTTTATTAATCCCAACTTAATTCGATTTTCTTTGAATAATCTCAACTTTCGATTATTCTAGAATAATCCCAACTTTAGAGTGTGTTTCCTTCTAACAATATGCATGGTGAATTAAAACATACAAAATGCTCACCCAAATACAGAAAGTTCAAAGTAATAGGAACAAGATATCAGTATCTTAGTTACCAAGAATGGTAATCCAGCAAAAGCTAATGAGTACCTTTTGTGACTTTGTCATAAATTGTGAATTTAGTTCTATTTTGGACAATACATTCCATAATGCATATTCATTATTCTAAGGGAAATTCCACCCTCCCTAAAAAAAATTCCAGAATCCGCCTTTATACACAGTTTATTTGTAAGAACTCACAGCTGTATCATTAATCAGTAGCAACCTTAAACAAAACAGGCAGATAATGTGCTCTTCCAGCCGATTCTTTGATTTCTCGACCACACCAATAAAAAGCCCATTGCTTTCATTTACATTTCCAGTACAGTTAGGTGTATGAGTGTATCGACATTGTGTATGCAGTGTCCGAAGTAGGTGACAGGCCCAAGATCATGAAAATAAATTCCTCTAATTCATTTTTGAATCTGCTTATATTTCCAGCATGAGATGCCACAGTATTCTACTCAGTGACAATAAATGGGACGCCCAAGAACCTGGTAATAATTAATTCTGTTACGTAACCGCCATTAAACTAAAAAAGCAGATCAGCAGGAGGCAGAAGCAAACCAAATATAAACCCAAGTAATAAACCCAAGTGAAGGCATATACTGATATACACACCAATATTGGATCGCACACAAGAGGCTCATATAGATTTTCAAGCAGGAAAATAAATACAAAGTATTAATTATCATCCACAAAGGCCACAAGCTACATGGTTTATCTTGAATGACCAATTTAATATAATAATCCCTTTTAAGACTGCATATGAGCCCGCATGATTAGGCCAATAGCATTGACAAACACGGTTGTTCCTGGAAATGCACCAACCTAGAAAACACGTACACACCATAGGCCACAAAATAGCCTGCATTTTACTCCTTTTCTTCACCCTCTTAAAAGGTGTGCTTGTGTTTCAAGATGGGGAATTCCATGTACAGAAAATAATTTCATCCACAATACCATGAGAAAATCAATAACTCTCCAGTTAAAACTTAAATATGGTGTGACATTTATAAATGCAACTTAAGGTATTAGCTGTAGCCTGTAGGCAATAGCGTAGTACAGATTGCAAGGGCTACCAGAAGTGCACGCAAATAAAAGTAATTGCAAAATAAAAACTCCGCTTACCAGCTGCCACCATGTCGGGAGAAAAAGTCATTATCCAGTGACACAGCAAGAGCCAACGCCACTGTTCTCTCTGAAAGGGTCAGTGGGCGGGCAATTTCTAAATCTTCAACCTACGGAGAAGGCATAGGAAAGAGGGAAAATTAGTGAGCAGGATCTAAACTCTTGCACAATTGTACAGTCTCTATTTCTTTGGCACAACATATTACCGCTTCTGCAGGGCCGGTTTTCAGTGCAGGATCAGAACTTCCAAATCTAATGGCATATTGTCCAGCATCTGTGAATACCTAATACATTGGAGTGGAAAAGATCAATACAACAAAAGCATTGATTGACTATAACAAGTAACCCCTGTAACTAGTTAGAGCAATAGCATACATCTCTAGATGAACGGATCACAAGTTATTTCTATTCAAAAGTCCAGAAGACCAGAACAGTTGAAGATGTCCTGTGCCAATATTAAATTCAGTCGATCACTGAAAAGAAGTGATTTCCTAAGACCTAGTGGCAGGTGCAGTACACATATACACATGCAAGCGAAGACACGGCATCTCACAGATGTATTTTTATACTTTTTATTATTGTCCGCGTGTCAGAGGAAAGGAGGAAGGGGGATAAAGGCCACAAAAAATTAATCAACATTAGGAGCTACATATGCAATTCGTACTAGTTTCTGGACAAATATGACATTGTGGCACAGAGTAGATTTAGTTACTGGCACTATCCCTTTATTTCATGTCAAATTGTAAATTTGAAGCCTGGAATGTCATATTACGCATGCATGACTTCTTATCATTGAAAATTGATGTAATTTTTCTTCCAATTCTTCAGAATTTGAAAAATGTAGAAGCTTGCTTCTTTTACACACTAATTAAATAATCATGTTGAATGGTATTCCTTCTATGTTCAACACAACAACAGAGCTAAGAAATTGATGATGCAGATCGAAGCTTTTTACCAACATAAACAATACATATTGCTAAGAACTAATAAAGTCAGGTCACCTCAATCTTAGCATTTGTTTTAAACTTTTAAACAGTACACCTAGTTAGGAACGGGTACTGGGAATGTAATCAATTTGCAACATTTCTTAACTAATGAGGAAGCATTTAGCACAAAGAGTGCACATGCATTACCCCAGATCAGGAGTACTGAATCATGATCCCACAAATAAAAAGTTGTGCATAAATCATATACATCTGGCTTTGTATTATTTTTACCCAATTCCTCAATTTGACTCCCAATTAGAATATAGCCACTTAGTTGAGATTAAGTGAGCATCGGAAACAGAACAAACCTCCAAACCCAAACCTCTCCAATCACGATCAATCTCCGCGAGCACATTACCATCAGCGTCCTTCATTGTAAATGTCCAATTCCAAAAACCAGGGTTTTCAACCACAGCAAACTGCTTGTTTCTACATAATTAAGGCATGATATACGAGTTAAGGGCTACTTAACTATCAAAACAATGAAAGTAAAAATGTACAGGCAAGGCAAGATTACCCCAAATATAGATCATAGATTCTCCTCCAGAGATGCCATCGTTGGTGTACAACACCAATCTCCTGTTCACAAACATTTATTTCAGAGCTGTCATCTTAATGGAAAATTGTAATTAGCACTAGTTTTCCAATTATATATCATTAGACAGGAAAATAAGAGAAACCCGTATTGAGAAAGGGTCATCCAAATGGAATAGAGTACTTAGAACCATAGCAATAGTTTCGTATGCATAAACTTCTAACATTTTGTAAACTAATTGCCTAAGAGAGTTAAATATCAGGGTACTTTCGAAAAACAAAATGGCATACCTTTCCATTAACCTCAGCATATATTGAGCTCGTAATCCACCAAAATGGCCGACGAATCTATATTTTACATATTGATCAAGTCCACAAAGTTAAAAAATTCGCATGTGAAAATGATTAAAACCACTTTAGACGAAGAGATAGAGTTATACCCTGAATAGCTCAGTGCCTAATGCATCAGTTATGTATGCAACAAAGGGACGTCTCAGACGAAGAAACTGCAAAATTGCAAAACAGCAATCCCTTAAACATTTCCTGCTGTCAAAACTTTGAACATACACAGAATCAATTTTTCACTGTGCTCAATTTCCATGTGCATATGCGCACAGTTAAAATTGCTTGGAATTCTTTCTGATGTTAGAGTGTCGCCAGTGCTTAGTCATTGGATATTTGAAGTCACAAATGCAAGCTCGTCATCTCGAATAAAGGTAGTTATCTTAATAAAATTCAAAAACTAGTGCAATTCTATCAAAAGTAGCTAATTTGAACTGGACTTGTAAACTTTAGACTTGAATTCGAACATCCCTTTAGAGGACAAAAGTCTAAGATTCAATCAAGATACTTTCAAACTTCAATCTGAAGTTTTGAATTATGCTGAATGTACTGTACGAAGTATATTTCAAATCCAATTTCCACTTTCTTGACTGAGAATGAGCCTATTTCAATAAACTTTAGTCCAT